CTTCGAGAGACCGGATCAGGTTTGCTTGTATACTATTTATCACGTTGCCAGTTGTTTTTGATGACATCAACATGAAGTTGCGTTTTCTTGACGTCTATGACATATCATCCTATCGGAATGACATTTCAAATTAAGGTGCCGGCGTTTGTCATGCGGTAGCCATACTAGTCAAATTCTCCTTTACCATAATCATGTAGTAAGCACGTACTGCACACGCCCTGAAGATCTCTCTGTTAGGTCCCCTCTTTGGTTTTTTTTCATGTTACTGGTTGCGGTGGTAGTTTGTAGGGGGCGCAGCCAGCTACGTTACTGTGGCGAGTACGAGTGTTAAAAAAAACACCAATTTGTTCGGATGCACTCACCCCTGTACCTCCTGAAGGCTCGGTTGTATTTTGTGGAATAGTGACTCTGGTTAGCAGGTCCTACCAAAGGTCTTGTGAGGCCACGACACATGGAATCAGATGTTAATTGGCATAGAAAAAACTTTCACTTCCTGGATCAGTTTGGTTTGGAGTTTGGGTGTGGCCAAATGACGACAGCAGCTAAGCCAAAAATGACCACCCTAACCTCTTTTGTCCTCTATGATGACCTTTCTTGACCGACCAAGTTGCCAAGAACCTATGACCAACTCATACCTTTAGTAATGCCAAGGCGAGGTGCTTTCACCGTTTCTTGACGCAAGGAAAGAGTTAGGTCCTTGTAGAATGCTTATTCAGAGCTGTGTTGTAACACACTAATGTTAGAAATATACCTGGCTAGCTCCTGTAATAAAACACGTGTTCGGTGTCCCGGCTCTTAGAGTGATATGAGGAACGTTAATGCGATGCTGCACACTATTTAAACCGTCCTTACGCCACTGTAGGCGTGACTTTGAAGGTTTCCAAATGAGGGCTTCTTGGTTGCCGAGCCTAATAGGAGAACTTCGGTGATTCTTTCTTTCCCTTGGATTTCGTAAAAACTGATAATAGGAGTTTTGGCAGATTTTAATAATTCAGCAGCTGCACTTGTGAAAAACTATTTAAACCTCCCAAAATCCGATTGATTAAACTTTTCTGGTAGTCATCTGTCGATTACTTAGAAAATCCTGTTTTGGCAGTTAGCATGCTGTATCACATCTGGCTGATTCGATATGCTTCAGTTGGTTGGGCGGGTAACTTCACCCGAACGTGATAAAACTCACGGCTCTCAGTTGGGGTCTCGTAACTCATGCGGTTAGAGTGTTGGCTGTACTCAAGCCTTGCCATTACTGTCGCGAGTTCGAATCCCATCGAGTCCGCCGAGTTTTTCACAATTGGAGCTTATGAAATCTGACATATAAACTTGTCCTAGTACGTGTGGCCCGGCTGTTTGGCTCAAGGGACCAGCACATTTGAGACTCATGTCTCGCTACTTACTGTGACCACTTTATCTTGGCCCAGTTTCGTTTCTGGCAAGTACGGCGGTGCAGATTACTTGTCGGCCAGACTTAGTTTGGGTCTTTACGTGTGAAACTGATGCTCACTATCGCAGAGATTCGTCAGGCATATGACCGGACGAGAAGACCGAGAATAAGGTCAAAGGAACTGCTCTTTTAGTCCCCCCTGCCTTGTTTTACCTAATTCCGCATACTATGTGCTAAAAATACGCACGAACATCGCAAGCGTGGCGAAACATGCAGAATTTAGGGAAGAAGTAAACTTTGACTGCGAACAGTCATTGCAAAGTTGCAAACCAAGTCGTTCAATCAGAAAGAAACATAGTTCGATTATACTGGAAGTTTACTATATCATTCATTTTCGCATACTTCGTAAGCCCCGCCTTGTCCCTGGGAGGCAATGCTTCGAGAGTGCGTGACCTATCTCATGAAATGTTGGCTGAAATTCTGAGATGCGTTTTCGATTAGGAAAGATTACTTGGTTGCGGTTGTGATACTGATTATCTCAAGGCATACTATTATAACATTTTAAACTTGGCAGGATGCCGGCTTTAAAATGTACTTCTTTTCAATCTCCTGTGGAAAGCGTGCTTGGTAAAAAATGACTACTTAAGTAGCATGCATTTTTCCCATAGATTTTCGATGGTCTTGGAAATTCAAATATATTTTATAGAAACCACAAACAACCGCGACCAAGTAATCCTTCCTAATCGAAAACGCATTTCAGAATTTCAGCCAACATTTCATGAGATAGGTCACGCACTGTATATGCTGCTTTTCGAGCGAGGTCTCTTGTAAACAAAAAGTTTGCTAACCTGCAACCATATTCACCGATCGGACAACGGAGCAGAACAAAGACAAGACAATGGGTCCGTAGCTCAACGATAGTGCGTTCGACTCAATTAGCAGAGATTCCGGGTTCGAATTCCAGGTGGTGTGCGTGTGTGTGTGAACACTATTCTATCGTTCTTTCGAACATTTTGAGCCAAATGTGCTTAGTAAAATCCAGGTAGAATTTAAACTTTAATGTTTTCATCTCTTAGCTTCAAAGTTGTCCAAGAGCTCAACGTTAAATTACAAACTTTTTATATGTATATTATATGAACTTTTCCCGAAAATACTGACCGTATTGGATATTCAGATGCACTTGAAGATAATGAAGTGTTAGT